CATCAGTTCATACACACAAAGAATACCTATACAAATCAGATAATATTTTGATATTTTCGTATTTTGGAACCACTTCAAGGAACAAATTGATTTAGTTAAAATTTATTCCCATTACTGACATTTTAGGCTTCCACAAAATATGCTTATGTCACGGATAGTATGGGTCAGTGTACTTCCCCGGAATATGCCAACGTGGAATCTCCCCTAAGAAACGTAAAACTTTTAAAATTCAATCATACTGCAAAATCTATAAGTTTTGATTTTACTTTGCATAAACCACTGGATGATAATATATGTGTAAGTCTTTGAATAGATCAATATTTTCCAAAAATAAGAGTTGAGAGTAATAATAATAATAATGTCTTTATTATTTCTATGAAAAATAAAAAAATTTAGAAGGTAAACATTTTATAATAAAACAAAAAATAGAAATAATGGGCGAAGTTCGTCCTTTATAAATGTTTGACCCAGGCCCGCGCCGTACGAGCAAAGTCGTGTGGTGCACCGTAGATCACAGATCACGCAGATTAAGGTTCGCCAGAGATCATGTACATTGGACTGTCGATGACTGGAAGAGAGTTTTGTTCACAGATGAAACCAAAGTAAGTCTAAAGGTACATTTACATCTGACATTTATTGCATGAGATTTATGTTTGACAGTTGTTTAGTTCAGTGTAAACCATTGATCTGGCAAACTAGGGATACGACATGCGTAAGCGAAAAGTGGGACCGGTCCGCCATTACTGTGAGTGCAAATTGTCAAATTTTATAGGTTATATTTTTAGTGTCATTTGTGTAATTAAATTTGAATTTAATTTGTGTTTGAGCAAATTTTGAGTGTTACAAACTTATAAAGTATATAATGCCTTGCTGTGTTATACGTTCCTGCTCTAGCGATAGACGTTTTTGTGAAAAATCGACTGGAATAACGTTTCATAGGTTAGTATCAAAATTATAAATATTATACAGGACAGTATTATGACAGGTTTGTATAAAATGTGTAAAAGTATGCTTTTAAAAATGCAAAAAAAATCATCTATCAACTGTTGGGCCTACCTATATTGGAATAATACTTTTTCATACGAAATAATATTTATAGATTTCCAAAAAATCCTATAAAACGTAGCGCGTGGATACAGTTTGTCAACAAGTATAATTAGTAACCTTCTAAATTCAGCAGTATATGTTTCAAGCATTTTCTTGAGAAGTACATTCATCGTACGCCATTTCATTTATCAAATTTAATTTATAGGCATTTTATATTCTTATTTATATTTAAATATAACCTACATTTGCTGTCCTTCCACCAATTTTATTTATTAGTTCTACAGCTGATTGAAAAGTAGAGCTTCATGTTTTGTGTATGCATGAGTATTGTTTGTTTTATTAATCGGGACGGTGGTGTAGCGGTCTATCGCGCTTATATTCATTTATAGGCAAGTTTATGAGTCTGAGACTGCTCGGTTTCGAATCCCAGACCGGACCATGTGGATTTTTAATTAAATTGCATGGTTCTGTTTAGGATTTGATGTGTGGCGTATTAATAGAAATTCAATTTCTGTTGATATGACATGCAGATTAAAAAAATTCGCCATACATTACCGTCTCGATGATGGTGGGTGAGGTTTTCCGGGTTTTCCTCACCTGTAAGTCAAATGGCACCATCAATCATCTTTAAGTCGCCCCGGAGCGCCACGGCAAATAATAATAATAATAATAGCCGTCCCTTCCCCTACACAAGTCGTTCAGTCGACTTCAGGGGTTGAAATTCACTCGTAAGGGGGTGAATTAGGGAGAGTATTATTATTATTATTAATATTATTATTATTATAGTTAATTTAAAACAATATTAATATACCTTTTTAATTACCTATAATTTGTTTCAGATTAGTGCGTTTAAAGAAATTGGTGAAAATGAAGCGATTCGCCAACTTTGGGGATGTGTCAGAAAAGTGACATCAAAGTTATTCAACGTTTCCAGAATAAAGCATTAAGGAACATCGTCAATGCACCCTGGTACTGCCACAATACTGATCTTCATAGGGACCTTAAAGTGGAGACTGTTGAAAATACAATACAAAAATTTGCCAGTAGTCGCTAACAACAACTGCTCCAGCATGGAAACCTCGAGATTATCCAGCTCCTCAACAATGCCAAATCTAATAAGAAGACTCAAGAGACCAAGCCTATTGAGTTAGTTCAGTGATGTTAAAGCATAGTATAGTGCAGTTAAGTGATTTAGACTCTAAGGTATACTAGAGAGTAGAATATCAGTTTGTGAAGTTTTTCATCCCTTGATAAGTTAGAATAAAATTTCTAATTGATCTTAATGATTAGATTGTAACAATCGTAAATGTTTCTTTACTTGGGGCATTTATTAAAAAACCTTTGTTTCAGATTTGTGCATTTAAAGGACTTTGTGGAAATGAAGTGATTCCCCTTTATATTTTATGAAATAATGTTTTAAGAATCAATATTTGAGTTTTGTGTATTTTAAATAGACATGTATATTTATAAATGTCTTTTTTTAGTCTAATAATATTTTAGAGAAAAAAAGCTAGAATACATTTCTGAAATATTACTATTTAATATCTCTAAAAGATTTAAAATTTTTATTTCAGAAATATTACTGTGAAATATTATATTTACTGGACATTTTTACGTTTCAGGCACATTTCAGAATTGTTTCTGGGATGTTTCGTAATATTTATACATTACAAATGTTTCAATGTAATATTTTTGAAATATTTCCGAAATGTGTTTGTGCTGTATGGGAAAGTCCTCAAGAATAAATTAATATCGAACAACGCATTAAGATGATGCTTCTCATTCTTTTATTCCTAGAGTGATAATATCTGCTAATCGATTTAACATATCTCTCCCACGGAATTTAGTAGTTGTTTAGATTTTTCATTATTATTAATAATTAATATGTACATATTTTTAATTAATTTACCTATTATTATTTAGGATTTTATTATTATTTAATTACTGTAATATGTATTCTGTATTATTGTATTGTTTTAATGGGCTCTGGCCCATACATAAATAATATACCTCCATCAAAAATAAAAAAGTATTTTCTGTTGTACGAATTTGAACACTAATAAATACTTTCAAGTCAGTTAATAGTGTTTAAAACACTTTTACATTTAAACATTATAAAATCATAATTATATTTAATTTTGTTGATATTAAAATATTATTGATCTGTTTATCAACAATAATTATAAACGTCAGTTGGCTACTCAGTACTACACTTGTCAACTACGTTTCCTTTTCATGATAAATTTAAATTAATAATATGCCAAAATAGTGTATCTTTAATGATTTTGTCATAAATATTCGCGAGCTGCTTGTATGGAGTATGGGTGACGATTTCCATACCGACAAGTTCCAAGGCACCAAACATTCAGTGCTGTGTTCCGACATATTCGAACACATGGCATACTATGTTAATATATCTTTTGATATTTAAACTCTTGTAGCTTGGTAACCATGCAGAATTGGATATTATTTGTTCATAGGACATTTTATGCTTGAAATGAATTCAGGAATATGATATTTAAGTTTGTGTAGTGCATATAAGTTCTTATAATAATAAATATTTAACATCAATACTCACTTAGTTTTTTTTAATGAGACTAGCAACAAAACCATAACCGTTTGTCTAGTATTAAAAATAAATATCACTCCTAGATATGGATAAGAAAATATTAAAACTTTATTCCTTGTACACTTTTATTTAATCACAGCACACATTATTTTCATTTACAATATTTACTTGACGTTCATATGCCCCAGTCTATTTTGTTCACCTTTTCTAGTGGCTTTTTCTGCTAAACTTTAGTCCCTATTCTACCTCCACATAGGTAATGAATTATTCAACCTTTTAGTCAACAACGGGGTTTTACTTGTTTTACAGTAAGATACTTATCTTTAATGTTCAAGTTTTAGAATTTGAACTTGGATTAGGCCATTTTCGTCAATTTTGTTCTTAGAGCTTTTGTAAAAACACTTGAGAAGTACTCTCACAAATTTATTTCTTATTTTGCCTAGCAAAGAAATTGTGTATTAGGAAATATTCTGGTTTTTACCTTAGTTTGCGACCTTGTACTTTCCGACTTAAAGACAGAAAGCATTGGGCTCATAGAAAAACGAAAAACTAAAGATTGAGCTATTTATGTGCCCTAGTGCAAACGTGTGACGACTGATCTAATAAATCGAACTCTGTTTACTTTTGTCGCTTATGTGAACCAAAAATGTATTATTTACTTTTTCTGTGAATGATTTCAACGCTTTAGGGTTAATTTTACCATTGTGTTAAAGTTTAAACTATTAATTGAAGATTAAAATTACATTTTATGTAAAAATGTCATTTTAAACTTCGTTAAACCCAATGGTGGAATCGGCCCCAAGTTAGTTATATCATGATCATTGATTAGTTGCAATTGTGCAAATAATATATCTATTCTCCAGCGCTTAATAGCTACTTGAGTGATAATTCAGTTATATTTTATTTCTTTCATTTACTTTATTCAGCACCTCTCGGCTGAAAACCGGGCATAGTTAAGCTTTTAAATCCCCTTCTTTTATAACCTCGGCCTTCCACCACCTTTTAAGTCAATGTCAATAAAATGGAAAGCAATTTTTTTATACTTCAAATAATGATACTTAACCAGAAATAGTACAATAAAAACTTGTAAATCCGGTTCTGCTCTTCCGCCATTTTAGTGAGTGCAAAAGCCACGCCTACCGGTCCCACTTTTGTATATCAAAAATAATACATATGACGTATCCTTACGTTGCCTTATCAATGGTGTAAACACACAAAAATTTCTCTCAGACATATATTTTTGAGTGTTTACACTGTACTAAACAACTATCAGACATAAATATCATGCAATAAATGTCAGATGTAAACGTACCTTTATATCTCCAGACAGTCGTGATAGATTATGGCGGAGACCTGGAGAAAGGTTTTGTGATTGCACTATCTCCTCAAGGAAACCATTTGATGGTGGATCAAAAATGTTTTGGGGAGGAATTAATTTTGATGCACGCACAGGATTAGTCCCCATTCGTTCGCGGTGTATGAATGCAGAATTCTATCTAGAAAACATTATTCAAAAACATGTTATGCCGTTTGCGCCATTTATAGGGAATACATTCATTTTTATGTAAGATATTGCAAGGCCTCACATCTCAAGACCTGTGTTAGATTACCTAAACAAGATTAATATTCAAATCTTAGAGTGGCCACCACGAAGTCCAGATTTGATAATAAGCTTGCCCAGACAAATGTAAGCGCTCATAAGAGCTCGAGGTGGTATTGCGCGTTATTAAGGTTCGTCAAATTTTTTTAATTGGATTTTTCGTTTGTTTTATGAAGTTAAAAGATTTTTTCATTTTTCAAATTTTTGTACCTTATCATTTTGCTTAATTGTTCCAACTTAAAATAAATGTTTCTCTATACCGGGTGTCCGCGCAAAAACTTTAAATGGAATTATTTCTGGTGTTTTAAAATATATCGACTTGAAATTTTGGAAGGTCATTAAGGAAGTAGGGGGTAAATTAATAGTGTATAAGATACCACTCCAACGTGATATCTGCCGCCCCCAGCCACCCCCGGTTCAAAAGTTTAAATGACACCCTGTATTTTTTTTTACATATTCTGAAAGAGCGTAGTTTTTTTAGTATCTCTATGTGAAAAAATTACTTAATTACATAATGAACTTTGAAAGATATTTACAGCTAAAGGTTCAGATACCAGATATTCAAATATCGAAAGCAAAAAATAATAGCAAGCCATGAAAGCTGCTTCGTTGCTTGAACTGTCAAATAATATTGTTTGTGACACTTCTGTTTACTCGTTAGTACAAAAGTTTTCGAAAAAATTTGACTTAGTTTAAATTAAATAGCTAAAAAAATAGAAAAATGGTTTACAGTTTGGAAGAAAAAACTGAAATTGTAGTTTTATATGGGATTGCAAACAGAAACTATTCGCAGACGGCAGCATTATTTAACGAAAACCATCCCAACAAAAATGTATCTGCTGTTTATGTAATTAATCTAATACAAAAATTTTTTGAAACTGGATCGGTAAATAATAAAAAACGTGATATGAATAATCGTGGAGCACGAGATGAAGCAACGCAAGTTGCAGTTCTTGATCACGTAAATTTAGACCCACAGCTTTCAGTTAGAAAATTATCAGAAGCTTCGGGAGTGGCAAAAACAACGTGCCATAAAATATTAAAATTAAATAAAATGCATCCTTATAAAATACAGCTTCATCAAGAGTTGGGCGATGATGACTTCGATAGAAGAGTCCAATTTTGTGAAACTATGACAGGCATGATTCGGCAAAATAGAAATATTTTGCGAAATATTTGTTTCAGTGACGAAAGTTGCTTTTCCTTAAATGGTTTCGTAAATAGACACAATTGTCGATATTGGAGCGATGTTAATCCCCACGTTTTCCGAGAAGGCCATACGCAACGTCCCAAAAAAATTAATGTATGGGCTGGAATTCTAAATAACCAAATAATTGGTCCAATTTTCTATCACGAGAATTTAACTGGGCCTAGATATCTCGAGTTTTTAGAAGAATTAATACATCCTCTTATCATTCAGTGCTTGGAAGAATACTTAGATCAAATGCAGGAGGATCAGTTATACTTTCAGCAAGATGGAGCTCCCCCTCATTACTGTTTGGAAGTAAGGCAATATTTAAATACCGTTTTTCCAGGACAATGGATAGGTCGTAGGGGTCCTATTGAATGGCCAGCTCGCTCCCCAGACTTGACCCAACTGGATTTATTTTTATGGGGACATTTGAAGTCTGTTGTTTACAGGACACCACCACAATCCATTGATGATTTGCGTAATAGAATCATAGAGGAATGTAGAGATTTAACACCACATGTCTTTGAAAATATTCGGAACGCTTTCGAGAATAGACTGTACTATTGTTTAAATGTAAACGGTGAACATTTTGAACATTTGATTTAACTAAAAAAAATAAAAAGTCCTTACTTTAGTTTATAAAGCGAAATTTTGTTGGTCTATAAGAATACCTATTTTTGTGATAAGTTGTATTTTTTTGTGATAAGTTGTATTTTTTTGTGATAAGTTATATTTTTTTGGATAATTAGATTTTTTTGTTTCTATCTGCTTTAATTATTTTGAAATTTGTCTACTGTCCAAGGTTACTAGTTCTTTTTTTTAATATCTGGTATCTGAACCTTTAGCTGAAAATATCTTTCAAAGTTCATTATGTAATTAAGTAATTTTTTCACATAGAGATACTAAAAAAAACTACGCTCTTTCAGAATATGTAAAAAAAAATACAGGGTGTCATTTAAACTTTTGAACCGGGGGTGGCTGGGGGCGGCAGATATCACGTTGGAGTAGTATCTTATGCACTATTAATTTACCCCCTACTTCCTTAATGACCTTCCAAAATTTCAAGTCGATATATTTTAAAACACCAGAAATAATTCCATTTAAAGTTTTCGCGCGGACACCCGGTATAATAATGTTTAATTACCCTTACTCATATTAATCATATATTAAATTCACTAAAAATTACAATAACACAAATATAATATCAACATTTTTAATAGTGCGATAACAATTATTCCTAATACCTGAATATTATTTTGTTTTTATTTGTCGATCAGTTTCGTCCTGTAAACAAGTAGTTTTAATGGTTTAAATATTTTTTTATTTCTTGTGCTTTTGTATCATATATTACATTTGAAACTTAAATACAAAAATTTTGAGTTGTAATACTGTTAGAATATATTTCTGTTTTCTATAAGTTTATAATAATGTTATGTACCTCAATGAGAAAATACTTGGCTTGTACTTGTAAAATATAAAAATGAAAATACTTTTTAAAATTATTTTTCAATTGTGGATAATAATACCTAACTTAACCCATATCTGTACATACATATGAACGTAATACAAATTTGGGGCGTTATTTTAAATTTGCACAAGAGCGCCAAAAGTGCTAGGCGCGGGCCTGGTTTGACCATTTAAACAGCCTGCTCTGTGTCTGTGTTTATTCTTAAAATTACCTTGTTGCTGTTCTTCTTCTTCTTCTTCTTCTTCTTCTTCCTTTATTGGGCTATATCCCACAGGATAATTTACTCATACCTTTTTGCTGTTCAAAATTAAAAGTAATATTTTTTAGGTTAGTTTAAAAATTCAAAGAATGTCCAATGGCGTTTCAAGAGAAATACCATTTGTCCCTCGAATTCCAGATCCTTGCAACGTACTTTTGAAACATTATAGAAGCGTATGGGTACAACTGATGTCTAATATTGGGGTTAAACGTCCAGATAAATGTCCTATACCGGCGGTAAGTTACCAGAAAGCTCGGTTTTTGTCGATGATTACCTAAATATAACTTTTTTTATCAAGCCCCATAACTCGTCATCTTTTAGTTAGGTAATATAATACAAATATTTAAGTCCGTCCCAGAACATCTCCCTACTCCTTCCACCCAGTTTCTCGGTTTTGGCAAAATGCGCACAGTGGCAAATGCTTCTTATGTTACCTCTTTGATTAAGCCTTGTACAGGGTTGCTATAAAAGAATCATCGGGATTTAAAAAATAATAATTTATAACTTATTATTATTATTATTAAAAAAAAAATATATAATATTAATACTTCTCTTTTAGGGCAATTACAGTGTAAAGAACTTTGTATTTAATTCTGTAGAGGATGGAGCATTTTCTATTCCAATGACAGGAAAAATCATAATTCGAACATTACTTAGTGAAATTTCTACAAAGAAGAACATTATTTGTGTAGAATCTGTCACTACTCATTCTATTAAATAGAAGCTTGGTCATCTGCAACTTTTATCAATTTATTTACCTGTATTATTTCATAATAAAACTTATTTCACATTTTAATCTTTCTGAATTAATTTTTATATATTTCACAGAGTTCACAGGTCTAATTCGAAAAATTCATGTTGTGATTAATTGAAGACCCATTTTACTCTGTAGAAGAAAGAAAAGAACTACTAAAACTGTATTATCGCAACAATTGCACTAGTGCTAGCACCTTGTAGATTGTATGTCCATATAAATTTTTGTCAAAACTCACGAAACACCAAATCGGACTTGACATTTTTTAATAATCATATGATATATATCTCCTAAGGGATTCTACATACCTATATGGTAGAAGTATGTTATCCTGTATATTATGAATTTTATAGGCCTAGTTACGTGTGCACATACAATTGACATTTAAACATATATTATTCTTATCATATTATATTTTAATGCTTAGTTTGTACTTTTAATCTTTTATGTTAATTCCCAAGTTTTATTAGGTAGATTTTATCTAGCTTTTGTTGAATAAAGACGTATGTATTTTAATTAATACAAATTGTTTTTAAAAACCCTGTATCAGTTTCAAAATATTTATTTAGACCATCATTTTTATCACGGAGTAGAACAGACAAAGTCGAGTTTTTACGTTAGGTTACACTATTGCAAAAAGACTCACCTTATAATAACAATTCTTCTTTCTTTTCATTCCGCCAATGTCTGGTCCATTTTTCTTTACCCATTATTTACCCATTATTCGATCTATGTTCCAACATTTTCTTACACTCAGGAAATCTTTTGTTCCCAGCAACGTCAATTCATTAAAACATCAACAATCATTCTATCATTCCCTCTAATAACAGCCCCTAGATACTCTACAACTTAATAACATAATAACAATAATATAACACTTTAGTGTCATATTACAAAAAAAAACAAGAATTTTAAGTTTGTATCTGTGTTTGATTCAGGTAAGTTTAATAAATATATGAGATATCACAAGGCAGTATTGGTGCAGCCTTGTCTATTTGATCCAGGAATTTCCATCAGAAATTAATTATTGTAGAGCTAACACATCTTAGGATAAAATACTAAAAGATGTAACGTCTTGGTAAATAATTTTAAATGACGTAAATAGCGCAAATCAAATGTCTTTTTTTGTCAGAGAGAAAGGAAATGATTCCAAGCAAAATCGTTGATGTAAATATAAAAACTTAGAACTTTTTTTACAACATTAACGATGCCAAATACTCAAAAAACTCTGGCAAAAAAATAAAAGTTTTTTAATTAATATAATTTTCTTCACAACTGGATTCTGATTCAAACTGATCACTACTTGCCGTTGTACTTTAATAATAATTGGTTATAGATCAGAAACAACTAATTGCTTGTATTTTTCATAATCGGAAACAATTATGTTTTTAGTGTGTCTTACATAATTGTCCCACTCACTGAGTATCGATAACATTATTTAAAGTTTCTAAGTCTGAAATACATCTTCCGGTGACGTCATAAAACCGTTTGCACTCTGATTACAAAATCTCTATTGGCCCTTCCTATGAGGCCTTAGTATCGCATTCATGCAGACGAAAACATGTTCTAACCCCATTTTTTTTAAAATTTGTTTCACGTTTTCAATCATTCTGAGTCCGAAAATGCAAAAAAAATTCGTCTGGTCGTCTGTGCGTATGTATGCGGGCACGATAACTCTAGAACGGAAGTTCTGATTGACTTGCGGTTTTTATTTTCTTGAATAATTGCTTCTAACTTAGAACCCTATTGATTTTAAGAATTTTTGGTTCATCTTAACTACTTTAATATCAATGTTCTTAAAATCCGCCCATGTATTTCTTATACGATTTATTTTACGCATTCCAATCATTCTTAATGTCTATTATTCCTAACATTGCAAACATTCCAATATTAGGCACTCCAACGACCTCTCAAACAACAGCTGTTGATTGTAAAGGTCAGATTTCTAAGGAGGGTTGCGACTTTCATAGTTGCAACCATACATCTGCTACATTTGAAAAGTATCTCCCGGAGCTTAGAGCAAATCGAGCTTATGTGGAATAAAAGAACGGCTATGGATTTGTTTGTTTCCCGTTTCCGGTTTTCAATAAAATAACAAACTTAAACCTTCCTTTTAAATCAAATTTGATCTCTTGTCTCGTGGTTTTTGTTGCAAGTTGCAAAGTAAAGCTAATTTTTAGCTGTGGTATTTTTCGCTTTTTGCTTTCACTAGAAAATAAACCACACGTGACATTTTTTGTAAATATTTTTTTAGTAATCAAACACATATGAAAAAGAATAAACTGCAACATAAGAGACAACAGACGACGTCTGTACATCTAAGAAAAGTACATCTACTTTGTCAATTGTCATAGAAATTCACATACTTTGATTACTATACGATGCAAGAGAGAGGTCCGACACGCCCAACATAGAGCGCGGCCATTTTGATGCCTTTACCACAGTTTATAGCTAAAGAATCAGTTCGCTCACTCTGCGTCGGCACTTTTGATCTCAATGTTCCAGTTTATATACTGCGCAACTCGGATAATACAATATGTGACTATTATTATTAAACAGCAGTCTTTTGCGCATCCTGAATTTGTATCCCTGGAGTGGATGTTGTTTTGGAACTTTCAACTGGTCCGAGTGAGCTAACTGATTCTTTAGCAATAAACTGTGATTTCAAAAATAATATTCACTGACACTGACAGCAGCAAGCAAAATATCAGGTGCGTTTTAATCATCCGCTTCTGCTTCCGGAATTGTCGGTTTAGTCGTTTTAATCTGTCAGATTAAAACAAGAAAACCGACAATTCCGAAGCAGAAGCGGATGATTAAAACATACCTATTAAAAATATTGCTCCAAGATGTAGGCAACACGTAATAAGGCATCAAAATGGCGGAGTTTTAACAGGCACTCAGAAAGCTGCGCAGTGCGACCATTCTCCTTATAGTAAGAGAAAATCAAAGTATGTGAATTTAATAGAGGACTTCTATACAAGAGAAGTGCAACCAACTTAACAAAATATAATTGATACTAATGACATAAGAAATCGGGTCATATAAATAGGCTGTTTTTTAGTTTACTTTTTCGTTTTTCTCATATACTTTTATGCCATTTACATACCATGTTGTATCCGTAAAAAAGTCTTTTTAGTTTAGGGTATTTTACATCTATAGGTTGAAAAAATCTGTCAGTGTCAGCTGTCAATTATGTTGTTGGTAGAACACAGGCGTAACCATAGATGGGCATAACGTAACTAGTATTGTATATGGTTATATAGTGTATGAAACTTGTATTTGTAGCAGCAGCATTTTTGCATTTGACATAAATATATAAAACCAAATGAAAAAAATGTTTAAAGAGATCGAGAGAAAAACAAATAGACTATTAACAATTAAAAAATAAATCGCAATGCTACGCTTATGTTTTGACATTATCGACAGCTGATATTGATAAATTTTTCAAAATAAAAAGTATTTTCTACGTTACGGGTACAACATGGTAGAGTACGATTCAACTAAGAAAAAGCCACACACATCATACCTGACAAAGGCCGCAATAATTTGCCTCTCTCTCTGGTCCATCCCATTTAAGCGGCAGTGGCGTTTTGGCGATTTTTTTCATTTTTCTAATATAGAGATACAATTGCTTAATAATTTGGCAACGCTGTACGACTGCCGCATGGTCCAGAATATAATTCGAACAGAAGTTATCGCGTAAACATGGATCCCTTATTATTGTGAGCCAAACTTCGGCGTTGACAAGCTTTTACTTACGAACAAAAATACGGGTTCATCGGAAGAAAGTGAAGACAGCGAGAGAGTACTATACTCTGTTTTTAAGCTAGGAGGAGCGAATTGAAAAGACGCATTTACACAGGGAAAAGTAAATAGATTTGTTACTAAGAGCGAGTTTCGAAATATAGTCGTGTTCAAAATTTATGAAATAATTATCTTTGTCGGCCTTAGTCGGTGAACGGCCAATGAGCGGTTAAAAAACGAATAAATGTCATAGAAGTAATTTTTTAATTGGTCCCAGACAACGGTCGCAAATTTCACATTATTGTGATCTGAAATGTGTGTCTAAAACGAAATGTCACTGTCAAATTAAAGTCAATATGGTTGTTGATTGATGTCAGAAATACTTTTTTCTTGCTTTTGAAATCGACTTTTTGAGAATAACTATGATCTTCTATGAGTAATGTGGATATTATGGCTTATTTAGTGTTAACCCATGGTTAATGCGTTAGAGGGCAAATAAAGGCATTCAAAAGTTTACAGGAACTAACATTTTCATAACACTACATGTTAACATATATTTTTTAAAGTAAACCATACATACCTATGTATTAATTTTAACTATTTTTAAAATATTTTTTGTGAAAGTAATGTTAACTCATTGTGCCAAATTAAGATTATCCCTAAAGTAGTAGATGGTGTTCTAAATGTTATAACAATTTTGTAAATAGTTTTATTCTATTCTAATAAATAAAATTTGCTTGAATAGTTACATTTTAATCATTTTGGTTAGAAATTCATTAATTTTTACTTTCCTATCTGTATACAGATATAAGGAAAGTATAGGAATCATGATTTTTTTCGACCTCGAGTTTTCGACGGATTTTTACGTTTTGAGGTCCCCTGAATCCGTTTTGACTATTTTCGCGATGATGTCTGTGTGTGTGTGTGTGTCTGTGTGTCTGTGTGTCTGTGTGTGTGTCTGTATAACGCATAACTCATGAACCGATACACAGAAAAACACCAAATTTTAAACTTAAGCTTTGTTTCAGCGTCCAATGAGCTGATTAGATTTTGGGCAGTGTCGGAACATCTGGGGGGGTACTTTATAGGTGGTCATTTTTATATTTTATGGAATATATCTGTTATTTACGTTAAGAGAAGAAAATTCTTCAAATAAAAGTTACTTCTAATATAATTATCTATAATTTTTGTTTTATGCAAAATTTTCCTAAAATGGTCCGTATTCGAGAAATTTGACAAAATGTAAAAAACATAAT